GTTCTTCAATATATAATGCATGTTTGAATTAATCTGTCATGTTGACAGCCATCATTAAAGCTTTCTTGAGTGTAATTTTAGTGGTTGTACTGTATTAGTGCTGTCAAACGATTAAAATATTTAATCACGATTAATCGCATTAATGTCAAAGTTAACTCGCGATTAATCGCACATTTTTATCGATTTCTAAATGTCTCTTGATTTTTTTTTTGTCCCATTATTATTATTTTTTTCTCATTTTAATGCTCTTAAAATGACCGGCTTGCTTTGTGCAAATGTTTTTTTATTGAAAACATCATTGTCATACAGTGTTCAATTTCACACTGACTTTCTCACTTGAAGCAAATAATCTCTCACACAATGTAACACTGTCCATCAATAAAAGGGTGAAAGAAATACTGACAATGTCCTAATATTTACGAGGGGGCGGAGAATTCGCATCAGTTGTGTGTGTGTGTGCTTGGCCATCACCAAAAGTGGTATTTCAGACTGGACGTGCTGCGATGGTGATAGCTCAGTTCACAACGACAAAACGCACTCACAGATCACTTTGGTCTTGTCAATTGAACCATTTGTCAACTTTTAAAAGTAAACTTTCCATTCAGAATCTTATTGGCATCCATTTCGGCGTCTCGCGCTCGCCATCCACTCAAAACTTAACGTTAACCAACAATTTGGCCAGCTCGCAAGCCCAAACGAGTGTGTGCGGCGTTGTGCCTGTTGTTTTGTTTCCGGTCCCCGCTTGCGCTTTGGTCGACGAAGCAACACAACGTCCTCGCGCGGCGGAAGCCATTGAAATGAATGTGCATGCCACGTCCTGTTGCAAAAGCAAGTGAAAAAACTACAAATTTGCTAGGCTAAAAAGACTGTTAATTGCTCTATAAAAAATGGACGTCGTTAAAATGGGGTTGCGTTAACGCCGTTAATAACGCATTTAACTTATAGCCCTAGTTTGTATACAATCAGTTAATTTGAACCTTCTATATTACAGTAATGCTGTACCAACTGACTCCTATGTATAGTTTACAGCATTAGTTGACACCTGATTACTGTACTGAGATTTCTGAGCTGGATTTCAATAAAAGCTGTATTTGGACAAACAAAGTTTTGAGGTCTGAAACGTACAGGGTGTTTTTATAGTCCAATGGCCTCTTATGTGAAAAAATCAATGGAAATGAAGTTTCTCAATTCATTACCCGTTAGACAGGCCTGTTAATGGTCCGTATTTTATTCCATGTCCCATAGATACCGACATTTCTGATCATACTGTCATACATTAGCCTGTACACATCTAAAGGAGGCTCTTGTAGTCATCACCTCTTGTTTGAGCACTGGTGGAAACCTGCAGCACGACTTGCATCTAGAAACATTCTGGCAGCTGACATTCCCCCTCACTAGAGGAAGGGAAGAAATGTTCTCTAGGCATGCAGAGTCGCATCAAGCAATGCTGGTGGAAGATGACAGGGGCTGAAACAGCAACATCAGCAGACGACTAAGAGCAACAAACTCAGCTGCTCTGCTTAAATTTATACGCACAGTATCTCTAAACACACTGCTCATACTCTATCACACCTAGCGCCGCTGCTTTCTTATATCTCAGCTCTCCTGCGAGACGTGCTCTTTCATATTCATAGATTTTCACGGCTGAATTTTTAAGGTCTTACGATAGCAGGTTTCTCCGATATGTCATCACTTCGGCAGACGTTTCCCCGTCCCTTCGCTAGGTCCATGGATTTCTGTCTTTTCCTATTTAAAGGCTCCCCCACAATGCCTGACAAAGAGTGATTTCAAATGTGTACTGATAATGAGAGGCTGCAGGAGGAGGTGTGAAAGTTAAAACTGTGAATCCCTCAGCAGCAAGCAAAGTTGGGGGACCGTTCCTCTCGCTGGAACACGCGATTCAGGATGATTCAGGATGACGAGCCGTAGCTATTGTACCCAACACCTCTTAGTCACCAAATATTAAGGTAACTCAGTTCCTCTCCCTCGTGACTTGCATGTTATTCCTTCCCACGGATGTCTTAAAAACTGAACTGTGTTTTTGGAAAGCTGGCATGCCAAAAATGGCAGAGAGAAACAAGGACAAACCGAAGAATCTCAGGAAGGATAAGTCTCGTAATAAAGGGTTGTCTGGCATGCTATCTACTTTTCTGATCTAAGTGGAGGCTAATCAAATTGTACGTTTGGTAGCTTGTTGTCTGTTTTTAATGATTATTTCTTTCAGGCCTTCAGGGTCACAAAACCACTCTGTTTTGCAAAAGAATCACGCTTCCTGTCATAGTCTTATTCATTATTGCGTCCAAGCTGGCACTTTGAATGCTAATGGGTTAGCCGAGTTAGCGACGTCAGCTGCAAAACGTGTTTGTGAGGCATGTCTGCTCGTCGCATCCCGAGAGAGGTGTGCGAGAGAGGTAGCACGAACAGAGCAAAGGCCTGCTGTTTTCCTTTGTCACCATGGAGAGAAATGGACAGAGTAATTGCGTTGTTCCAGGGCCTGAGGAATCCCATCAGCCAGGAGCTGGTGCTGTCAGAGGACATAAAGATGCCACTAAAAACTTAACTCTCCACTGACACGTCGGACGGCTCGGGCCTGCACAAAACGACAGGGGAAAAGACAGACAGATTAACCATGGTGGGGTGCAGATGAGAGCGAAAGTGCTTTGGAGGAGGTTTGGGAAACAGCCAGCTAAGATGAGGGCTGAGTGTGCATGTTGCCAAGATTGTGTATGATGGATGTGAATGAAGTCCAAATAAATGCTCAGGGTTGCTTAATTCTTTCGCCGTCTACTCCGCTTTGGGAAACACCAGGGGTTTTCTAGAATGCTCAAATGAAGCTTATTTTCTCTCATTGTCAATAAGTGCCCATTTTCTGGCCATTTTTATAGACCGAGACAATAGGAAGAGACAGGAAATTCTGGGGAGAAAGAGTAGGAATGAGTTCATTGATCTATAAAGCATGGTGATACTGGTTTAATGTCCATCCATCCCTCTCTATATATATCTATCTGTACGCATCCATCCATCCCTCTCTATGTATATCTATCTGTACGCATCCATCCATCCCTCTCTATTTATCTGTACGTATCCATCCATCCCTCTCTATGTACAGTATATCTATCTGTACGCATCCATCCATCCCTCTCTGTCTATCTATACGCATCCATCCATCCTTCTCTGTGTGTCTATCTGCATCCGTCCATCCATCTGTCCATCAATCCATCCAAAGTTTGTCTTTATAAGTTTTCCATTTCTAGATAAAATTTATGCGTATTGCTTAAATTTATTGTAAATTATATTCATTTATTTGAATTTCATTTTGAAATTCTTATTGCAATTCTGCTCTTCTTGATTTTACTTGGTTATAATAGTTCCCAACCATCTTCACAATAATTGTTTTCCAAACAATAAACCAGTCAACATCTTCCAATAAACATCTTCCAACCACTAACTTGGGTGAGCTTAAAGGGATACTCCACTTTTTTTGGAAATAGGCTCATTTTACAACTCCCCTATAGAGTTAAACAGTTGAGTTTTACTCTTTTTCGAATCCATTCAGCCGATTTTCTAATATTTAGAAGAATATCAGTAACCAGACAGTTTCTGGTCTCATTGACTTCCATAGTAGGGAAAAAATATATACTGTGGAAGTCAATGAGACCAGAAACTGTTTGTTTACTGATATTCTTCTAAATATCAGAATATCGGCTGAATACTTTCGAAAACGGTAAAACCCAACTGTTTAGCTCTGGGGGCTTGGTAAAATGAGCCTGGGATACTCCACTCTTTTTGGAAATAGGCTCATTTTACAACTCCCTTAGAGTTAAACAGTTGAGTTTTACCATTTTCGAATCCATTCAGCTGATTTTCTGATATTTAGAAGAATATCAGTAACCAGACAGTTTCTGGTCTCATTGACTTCCATAGTAGGAAAAAATATATACTATGGTAGTCAATGAGACCAGAAACTGTCTGGTTACTGATATTCTTCTAAATATCCGAAAATTGTCTGAATGGGTTCAAAAACGGTAAAACACAACTGGAGTTGTAAACTGAGCCTATTTCCAAAAAAAGTGGAGTATCCCTTTAAAACCAGGTGCACTGTTTTTTGTGTGTGCACAATATAGGTCCACATGAGCGCCACATAAAATCACCTGCTGCATCACAGCTCTGACAATAAGCATACATTTAATAGAAATCCACGTGTGTCTAACATAAGCGGGAATTTGACAAGTTTCTTGTCTTTGTTAACTTCAAACAGGGCTTAACATTGCCTGAGGAGCTCTCTTGTTAGCCGTTATCATTGCCCTAAATGATAGGTGGGCTATTTGATCTCAGCGCACCAGCTCTCAGCACAATTAACGTTGCTGCATGAAGAGAAGTCGGGTCTCCGAGCTCCATATATCTCTCCAGCAGGGAGAGTTAATTGTGTTTTGAAAAATGGGCCTTGTTGCACGAATGTGACCTCTACTACTGTCTGTTCTCGCCGGTTTGAGATCCCGTCTTGCTCAGAGACTTCCAACTTTCCTACACCTTTTGTTTGTAACTCAATTAGAGTGTCTTTGAAGGTCTATACGAGCAGCTTGCTCTATGTGGTTTTCCTGATAACTGTCCTCTGAAACTTTCCTGTTCCAGTTTTCTTAAATGGGCTGGGGTATTGTGTATTGGGGCTTCGCAACACAAGAAAAACACCATTAACAGCTCAGGTGTTTCTGTTAGTGTGAAACCAAAAAGTGTCAAGTCTGAAATGCTGAGAGAGAGAGGACAGGTACAGCAAGCAGCGTCAGGCATCGCAAGCTAGGTGTTACCCGTTCCCCAAGCACACTCTCACAACTCGACAAATCACACAGTACCTCCTCTTCAATCTCCCTGTGGGACACAAAACCCACAACCGGTCATCTCCCAATTCCCTCTTTTCCTCTTTGTCTTCTGTGCGTTTGAAGTCCTCTGAAGTGCTTTCACATAGGCCTAATCTCATGTCTTCTCTTCTCCCTCTCTTCCAGATGGTCACAAGAACAAAGAAAATATTTGTAGGCGGATTATCAGCTAACACAGTAGTTGAAGATGTGAAGCAGTATTTTGAACAGTTTGGCAAGGTAAGATCTCATTTTCTTTTTCCCTTTGGCTAATTTCATGGAGAGATGTATGTGTGTGAGGAAAAACGCTGTCCCTCAACAAATTCTTTCATGTGAAGACTTTCAAACAGGCTTTTTGAGATGTGGCCATTTGGAGATGAAAGACTAGTATTCGCCACTGGCTGAAGTAGCCAACACAATTTGCTTAAAGCTGCTGTATAATCATTTTAATGTTAAAATACTTTTCCTATCTCAGATATTAATGTGTAAGGACAACTAAGCCACCAGTTGGTTGGCTTACCTGAAATCTCTTCTGTGAACATCGCTGAGTTGGTCATTTATTCAACCAAATGGTGTGCTTGGACCTGACTAGGGTTGAGTAGTGATATAGATTGCCCAATTTGATTCGGATTCACAAGCTTTCGAATCTTTTTGGTTCAATTCGTGATTCAGTTAAAATGTCCATTTTGCCAACATATTCATTACATATGGAAATAAAACCTCCCTCTTCTAATGATGTGTATACAGGGAAGTGTTTCAAACTGATTCAAACTGGCAACTTTTTGAATTTAATATAATCAATTAAAAGAGTTATTTGTCATAGGAATCTATCAATATTTTTTGTGCTGTATGTTTTTGAACCACTTTAGTACTTTAGTAATTTGTTAAGGAAATCAAGCTACAATGTACATGCAGTGTAGTTTTGATTAACACTCATAACAAATCAACATAATAGTAATTTCTACAGTTCTGTTTGTTTTGAATCGCTAAAAATAACTGGCTCATAAGAGTATTTTGTCATTTTACTGTATAAACTGAGAACAGGCATTGAGTAAAAGATCAATGGGCTTTTATGAGTCAGTATCAGGATCATTCAAATAAGCAATTGAAAAATAAATGTTTTTACCCAGTCCTACCTTGACATGTTTTTCCAAGCCTGATATTATCTTCCAGATGATTGATAGATAACCCATATCTTTGTGTGGCCCAGGTGAACTTTTCTATGTGCGGTATGATATGACTTTGCGTTAGTTCACTGGTTCTTTCTATTTCAGGCTCTGTATAAATACCTAGCTCCATTTGTTTGTAATCAGCTGTGTCTGAGTGGACCTAACACACACTTGACTTGATTGAAGGGCTCAATTATGCAGATGTTTTACTTGCCCTGTGCTGTATGTCTTGCCCTGGGGGTGTTTTCAGCAGCGCCAGCGCTGGCAGTAGACAACCGCTAAATCATTGTGATTAAAGGAACGACGGAGGATTTGTAGCTTCTTAAGTCACAAGACTATATTAGTCTTACCACAGTCCGGTTTATTGAGGCATACTTGTCTGCGTCCTTACGTAAAGCTGTAGATCGTTATTTGGAATAGGCAGCGTGATCCAATAACGCTAAAGACCTCAGCGCTCAGTGTCTCGTTGTTTATAAGTTGTGAATCAAATGCAGTCTAATGAAGCGTCTGTCTCCGCAGACAAGAAAATTAAAAATTGACCATCCGATGGATACGCACTCGCGAGTAAAGGCGAAATAAGCCTTCAAAGTGACTTGCTAGAAGGTTGGATGCTCATTTGCTGCAACTCTTGATGACTCTGCAAGTCCGCCCACCTGGAGGTTTTGCCACACTGTGGTGTCAGTTGAGCTGATACCCGGAGGTTTGTGTGTGTGCATAGGGGCGTGTGTGCAGGCCAATTAACAGTGTCTCCTGGCGAGCAGTAGGTAGTGAGAGAATGAGGATCCTGGGAGGAGAGCAGGTGGCATGGGGCAGCAGGGTCACAGGATCTGTCTCCTCAGAAGCTGTGTTTTTCCTGAGCACTTTTCTGTGCTATGACAGCTTACACACTCGTGCACACACACATTTAAGTGGCACTAAGGGGCATTTATTGCACAACACTGCAGAATTAAGATTTTAAAAGCCTTTCCACAAAAGCTCTTTGAGTTAGATCCACTTTTCATTAGCATACAGTCATTTCGTGCTAATGCGGCATGTTGCCTTTTTTTTACTTTTAGAGGAAGGCATGCCTAAATAATTTCAGTGGTTTCATCCGAAACATTTAATGTGTTAAGAAAACAGACTTGGCATGGTAGCCTCGCTCCTTTCATAAACCTTCATGTGCCCTAATTACATAGGATGGCTTATGCTTAGTCATAGGTTTATTGTAATCGGCTTGGAGTAGATCTCCAAACAAAGTACACTTATTCTGCTAAGTTGAAACAACTCCTATTTACTTCATTACCACCCCCCCATCCCCTCCCTCTCTCACTTTAGTGTTCGCTGTGCTGTTGTGGCCAGGATTTAGTTTCATTAGGCCTGAGAGTTGTTTCCAAGCCAGTGCTCTGCCACAATCAGGCCTTTATGCCTCCTCTGTCCTGGTTCCCATATCGGCCTGGGTGACAGCCAACTTCTACCATTTCAGGGGCAAAATTTTAACCTCCTGCAGTCCAGATATACAGTTCGTCATTGCATAATATACAATAAAAAAAAGAAATACTTAAATATATATATTATATCTTTTTATATTATTTTATTATTTATATTATTAAATAATTATAAATAATATTTTCTATAACACATGTATGTATATATATTTGGTGTATATAAAAAAAACATATGCTATTAATTAATTATTTATATATAAATTATTTAGCTATTAATTATTTATATATTGTGTTATTTACATAATTTAATAATTTAACATGATTGAATGACATATTTATTAATTATAATGATATTATGTGTATATATATATATATATATATATATATATATATATATTTATACAATATTTTATGTAATTATATAATTGGTAAAAAATATCATTTTATTACTTTCTATTTTATTAAGTAAATCACATGTTCAGTCTACTATAAGTTACAGTGATTATTAGACAAGTTAATACTTGGTCTCTGTGTGCTGTGCAGTGATGAACACACTAGTTACAACAGTTGTTTTGTGTTGTAGCTACTATATTGTGTACTAGGCACATCTACAACAGAATTACCAATCAATATTCAGAACTGTAATTATGTATTTTGAAATAAGTTTTAGATTTTAGAGACAACTTGAAATGGCAATTGCAATGTATTCATCTTCTAACACATTCCCTAGTATAGTAAGTAGGAAAATATTTTATCAAAATATCATTTTTTTAAGCTCTCATGGACTTGGGTTACATCAGCAGAAAAGACATTTTTCAGCAATTGACTAGGGACTTAGAAAGTGAATAAGGTCAATTTTGGTTTCATGTTGTCCTTAAAAGTGAGAACTCGACCTAAAAATTGTGTATTATCACGTTGCCGTAATGAAATATCAGTTTTCTCTTTCTCTCAGCTTCAATATTCAGTGAGGACAGTGGGCTGCCTGTAATGACTGCATCCCGAGCACTCACTGTTAGTTAATTTAGCATACCTGGTGAACCACTAACATTTAATAACAGCATTCGATTTACCTCAGGCTCGGGTAATAAAAACAGTGCACTGCTCTATTTGCAAGGCTCACTGCATCACTGAATCCTTAAAGTCTGATTTGATAAGCTTGTTTAACTAGAGGTGTTTGTGGATTTGGTGTGAAGAGTTTATTTCAGACACATTTTCCTTGTGTACACTGTGAGACTGTGGGAATATGATGGCGTATCGGTAGTAAGAGTAATGGCGGCCATCCAAAGTTGCCTTAAAGATGCACCGTCTTCCTCCTTAGGTTAGTTCCTTTTCCATTCTTGGGGTGTATTTTTCTCGCCATAGTCCTTCAGCTTGAACATTTCATGCCTGGTGCTTTGTGAAGCTGCTTTAAGACAATCTCAATGGTTAAAATCACGATATAGCTAAATTGGATTGGTTAAAGTTAATATGCATAAGAATATAATAAAGATTACCAAAAGCCTCTATGGACTGTTTGAAATCAGGGTTTAGATTTAACATCACACCGTTGCTTATGGTATACAGTATGTGACGGTTGTGTTCTGTGAATTTCCACTTCCTAAATTTAGTTTTCAGAGTATGCAGCTTCAGCTTTGTGAGCATTTCATGGTTTATTTTCTTTAAATGTCTTAGAAGGAACTTCATTGTCTGGGCAGAGATGTGTTATTTCTTATCAAAAGGCCCTTTGGACTGCCTTCCTCCATAAGAGTAGCCAGGGAAGTGTCCTCTATTCACTGTGAGGGTTAGCAGTAAATCCCCACGGACTTCTATGGAGCCCGTAGCCCTTAAATGTTCTCCACACATCAGTGGCCTTGCACAAGTGGGAAGTCACTAACAAAAGGTAGAAATTCTTAAGGGTGGCTGAAATAGTCAATCATGGGCTCCCCTCTCTCCAGTGCCCTCTGGAGTGAAGGGAGAAAACAAATGAGAAGCTAGTGAGGGATGAAAAGGGAAGGTAAGGACAAAAGCAGCTTTTGAACTGCTTGGTTGGGATTAGTTTTAAGATGATGCGCTCTCTCTAGACTCCTCCCTTCCTCTGCTCTCGTCTTCCTCAGCAATCCGAGCCCACACCTGTATTTGTTTCGCTACCGAGTCTTTAACAAGGTCTCAAAATGGCTTTCACAGAGCTTGTGTTAACCAGTGAAACCAAATCTTCTTGTGAAGATTGAAAACACAATTGATTTTGGGCAGGGCTGAGGTCGCCGGCCCAGACCTTGCTCTCTCTCCGCCTCTGTATGCTCTGACGTGCCTTGAGATTGATCTCTATCCTTCTTTAATTCCCTTTTTCCCCCAGCATTGTTTATCTTGGCTGAACACACATCCAAAATGTCCAAAGTGTGTTCTCCCACTCCAAGGAAGTCTATAATACTTGGAAAGAGCTGTGCATTAGCATTTCCAATCATCTTAATGGTGGTTTGCTCGGTTGACACGCAAGTAGCGACTTCCCTGAGCTGTGACATCAGTCAGAAGAAAATGTCGAATCTTTAGTCTACAAAAGTCTAATTATCGGCAAAAAACATTTATTTTAATATTAAGAAAGTTTTTACTGCTTGTAAACCCTTTTATTATTATTTTTTTTTATTATGAAGGATTTGGTGCCATTTAAAAA